TGACCACCCTCTCCATTATCCTAGTGGCAACTGATAATGGATCTGATGCCCCTGCGTTCTTTATTTTCTGTGGTCTCCCTAGAGGTTGGAAAATAGAACATGCCTTGTCCCTCTGTTCTGTTTCCTCCGACCAGATGACCATCCCCATGTCAGGTTCTCTCAAGTATCTTCTTGTGATGTTCCATCAAGTCTGTTCCAAGGGATCATCCTCCTCCCAGGGTTTTCCTGGTACTCCATTCTAAAAGTGGCCCCAGGCAAGGCCCTCCATTGGTGATGCCTTGCAGTTGATTGTGCAGCTTATCCAAGGCCACCCAGGTGGCAGGACGGGGCGACCTCATCAGCCATACAATCTTCTTTGAGATGATCTTTGGTTGGCCCCAGGATTTGGATTCCCAGAGTCCTTTTCCTGTTGTTATCGGCTATCGGGCTGTTTCTGACATGCTTGTTGTCCACCTCGCAGGCAGGCGTTCCTGAAATGTCCACCTGCTACAATGGGGAAAGCAATGGAACTTCCCAGGAACTGGATCCGTGTTGATGTCTCTTGAGGGAAATAGAGGTGGTTCTGTTTATGTATGTAGGAGTGTTAGCAAGAGGTACTTCTCTCAGAAGTGCTTCTCTCCGGTGCAAAAAAAAAAAAAAAAGTATTCGCCCCATCGTTGGGGAAAAGAAATTTGGATTGGAGGGCAAAAACTCCAGGCTGATTCGCATTGACTTGTCTCCCGTGGAGTCCAGAGACAAGAAGGCAAATGTGACCACCCTAGTCCCAGAGCCTTTCCCACCTTATTTGTGTGTATTCACACTCTTTGTTGGACCTTCCCATTCTCTGTTTCTGTCCTTTTTGATCTCAGTTTCAAGGAAGAGAGAGCCTCTGTTTTCATGGGCCTGCTGGAATTTTGTATTGTGGCCTTTGTCATGGGGAGAAATCAGTGCGGCTTTGCTCTGTGTTTAAAGTAAGAGTTCCCTCTTGTGGGAAAATGAGTCCATAGCAATCCAGCCTCTTTGAATTCTCAAGGTCTAATTTTGATTTCTCAGCTTGAGGTCGCTGAGAAACCCTCCTTTTGGAGATGACCTCTCTTCTGGCTGCGCTTGCAGCCCGACTGTCCAAGGATTGCTTTTATTTAAGAGGTGCCACTTTCACAAACGGAGTGGCTAAAATTCAAGAATAGGTTTTCCTGCTATCGTCTGAATGTTGTTTAGAGAAGCTTTCTATGACATCCCTGCCTGATCTACTTTTATGCCTTGTTTTCCGCCTCTGATGACTGATATTAAGTCTCTTGTATTATGTTTTATCATGAAGAGTCAGTCATGACTTAACGACTAAACAACAACAGTTATGTTTTATAGCCTCTTGGTTTTATTTTTAACCCTGTTGTTGTGGAGTTATATTTTATTCTGCTGTAACCCACTTAGAATACAGTGGGGTCTCTACTTAAGAACGTCTCTACTTAAGAACAACCCAACTTAAGAACAGTTCCATTTGCTAAATTTTGCTTCTACTTGAGAACAGAAATCCAAGATAAGAACAGGAAAAAAAAACCTTTACTGCTCTTTTTTTTAACCTTAGGTCATCTTAGGTTAAAAAAATTTTCCTCCTAGTGGTAGAGTACATATTAACCAGCTTTGCATTAGTTCCTATGGGAACTAATGCTTCAATGTACGAACACACCTCTACATAACAAAAAA